AAATATTTCTGCTGTACTACTGCCCTCTGCTGGAAGAAACTGTATTTGCCTCCTTGTCTCATAAATACGAATGGCAACAATGCGCACACTTATATTAAGAACAGTGTTATTTATTGAGAAGAGGTGAAATGTTACAAATGTTGCAATCACAAATTAGCACCTAAAAGAATGAGGTAGATCGAGACATATTACGGTATCGGAATAGTCTCTGCTTTCAGATGTGCTGCCTAAGTATAATTTAATGTAAAATGTTATAAAAACCATGTTTAAACAGTGTCCACACTGTCTATACGGAGAAGTCATTTGATAAGCATCTCCTGTACTGTCTGCCTTCTGTAGGACAATCAAAACAGCATCCTACATGCAGTGCAAACTGAGGTACTGTCAAAGCAAGTCTGCACGGAGATGTCTGTTTAAAACACTGGCTAGGTAGGAGTATCAGTGTAAGACATGAGGCATCAGCTCGGCCCACCTCCGCTCCAGCTGCCGCTTTAGAGCCTCCGGAGCGAAGCTGCACTGGATGGCCTGCTGAGAAAGAAGCCATACGGCCTCCTGACTGAGGCCGAACGTAGAAGCAGCCAGCTGATATTCCTGAGAGAGATCAGTGCAGAATACTCCCTTATCATCCGTCTGGAAAAGAAAGATGAATGTGAATTTTAGATCGGGCAGCACTAGAACGGCCAGATTTCCCATAAAAGAAAAGCCACACTTACACAAAGCACACAAGGGTGTCTGCGTTCATACCAATACTGGAAGTGATGCTTGTCATATGAAGGTACAGTTTGACCCTTTACATTAGAGGTCAAGCACAGCTCTATAAGGGAAGATTGAAAAATGGGATATCAAAGGTGCTAGAGCATCCTAAATTACAAATGCACAGAGGTCATGCCGACTTCAACCTGGGGAATGTCCAAATAAAGAATGTTCCTACAATGATTAAAGGCATTATCATCATTGCTCACCTATAGGAATGTTTTGTTTGCAAACTTTATCAACAAGACTGTCTGAACCCCCAACTTCAGGGTGTAAAAATGTCCCATGACCAATTCTATCAGGAGGCAAATCCAGCAGCAACTCAGACTCCTCCTTCTGGGAAGGAACCTAAAACAACATGGACACATTGCAATATATCTGGCTCCTACAAGAAATGACAAATACATGAAGTATTTAACACTAGTAAAGGGTTTTGATATAAAAAAGTCAAACCTCTGACAAATGCAATGCCAGCTTAAGCCCACAGTTCTTAGCTCTCTGGAGAGCAGGGAGCAAGTCCTTTCCATGACCCACCTTTTAAAGACCAAAATGAAATACTTTTTAGAAGCCAAAAAATTAAAGTAATGTAAACACTAACAATTGACTAAATATATAAGGGCTGGTGTCACCAGACTAACAGATCCCTCTTTATTACAGTACTGTGCAAAAGCAAAAGTCCATTTTTAATTAGTTTAAATTCTAGTCAAAACAGCCATTGTATACAAGTTATTCATTTTTCAGCATCGTGAAAAAAGTGGTAAGTTTTAGTATTTAGTACGTCCATCATTTGTCTTTAGTACAGCTTCCATTCTTTTCAGACTTGTGTTCAATTTTTTAAAGAAATCTGCAGAGATATTTTTCCACACCTCCAAAGTTTTTAGACTTACATTGCAAATCTGCTTCTCAAAATCCAAGTAACCCCAGCCACATGCAATAATGCTTAGATCTGGGCTCTGTAAGTTTTGTTTTGGTGCAGATGATCTTTTTTTCTCTGTTTTCTTTTCCCAGTAGAGGTTTTTTGACAGTTACAGTGTTAACTTTCTCCTTCCCAGTAGATTACGTTATATATGATCTCATAAATAAACTAATTAAATTAACTAATAAAGGGTGGTATCTAACTTTTTCACAGTACAGTAAATCTAATTGTGTGTTATATCAACCAAAATCTGAGGTGCTTGTAGCCTGGTATACTTCACAGCCATATCTAGTTTGTGGAACTCCAATCAGGAAAGTTCAACTGACCATAGGATCACCACTCAGGTCCAGTCCTACAATCAGACCATCACTGGACAACATGAAGTCCTCAGCTAACTTCACAGTCTTCATAGCTACTTCAGGGCCATTTCTGCGGTCTATAGCCACAAGAAACCTGTTTAACAGAAAAGATCTTGAAAAGTTATCTTGAAAAATCTCATTAAAAGAGACTGAAAGTAATTTATATCTGACTGAAAGGTGAGATACCAGAGCATCTCGACTGATTTGGGATGATCTACTAACCTGACATCTATGTCAACTTCTTCTTGCTTACACTGACGGATGGCTTCAATGACCGATTCAATGTATCTTCTCTTTGACAAACCTTGACGAAAAAAAGGAGGCTAATTACAAATAAAAGAACATGAATCAAGTATCCTTCCACCACATTTAGACATCACCCAGTAACTATGCTACCTGTTTTAGTTTCTTCACGTGGGGTGCTGCGCAGTTCCAAATACTTCACCCCGTCTGCAGCAAATTCCTGAATAACAGCTTTTGCAACCTGTTGGAATAGAAGACCCCTTATAAACTCTTCCATCAGGGTGTGACTGTGAAAGTCACAGCAGACAGTGGTTTACCATTAGGATATCCTCTTCTGAATCTACAAGCTGATGGATCACTTTGAAAACCTGGAAGCATCTGAAAAAAGACAAACAATGCGTGTGATAAAAGTGGTCCAAGAGTACTGAATAAACTACATTTACTGCAGCTTTTACACCCTAATAAGAAATCTGTGGAGTCACTCTTGAGATTAACTAACTTTCCTAGCATACTTTTCCCCAGTTTCCAGAGTTATCTTTGATGTTTTTGCCAAATTCATACTTCTAATGTCTAGTTTTCGTGCCATATCTTACTTATATAGATTATTTAGGTCTGTTTAGGAAAAAATACAGTGCCCACTGAGATCTTTCTTACCCACTGCTATAAGGCTCTACAACGGGTCTCCTTACTGTAGAGATGGTACTGATCTCCTGCTGTCTGAACTGTGCTGAACCACATCACTGTATCTCCTCTCCAAATAATACACACTGTGCAATATATCATAACTGCTACTGTAATGACACTGTCACTATGCACTTTACACTGTAATATTGATGAGTTAGTTATGTCTATAATATGTGCTTCTAGCTTACCTCATACCACTCAGTGCCTGCTGTCATGTAAACACAACAAATCTGTCTCATATGCCATGAAAATATGCAAATAGATATACTTTGATTTTATTTCTCTTGTGCTTTAACTTATGTCTAAATTTATTTCTATTTTTCTGCATAGTATATGCAAGTTTATGTGCAATTATATGTCTTGCTACTGAAACACTGCAATTTCCCTTCGGGATCAATAAAGTTCAATCTATCTATCTATTTATCTATCTTGTACTCATAGCTGCGTGCTGTGGTGTAAGGCTGTAAGTACGCACTCGTCCAGTGTGCGGCGCTGTCCGCTGCGTATGGCCGTCATGCTGTGCTCGATGTTGAGATGCGGTTTGCGGGCAATGAGCTTCTCCATCGTTTCAAAGCTGACAGAGCCGTTGAGATGAGCATGAAGTTCCTGCAGGCAAAAACAAGAATCCTAACCACGCCAACCTTTAGCCAGACACTTCATAAAAACATCCAAAAGTTTATTAATTTTTAATTTCAATATCTTTATCTGTGCATACAGTATATGCACAACATACGTCTATATATAGTAATATACATACTCCTCATTGAGTCATTTGACAGTAGTTGAGGCTGATTGTACATTTTGTTATAGATTTAAAAAGTAATAATATTAACACGCACTAATAATATGTAATTAATATGTATTTATACTGCTGCTGCTACTACTAATACTACTACTACTAATAATAATAATAATAATAATAATAACAAGGAGAATGATGTGTTCCATATAACATGCACCTGCTGATGCCTTATGATTTGGACATTTCCAGACATAAAAAAAAACATCAGAATGCAGGAATTAGTCTCTGAAGCTCAAATGTTTCTGGAGGAGGAGTCAGCTATGGTTTCTGAGGTTTTACAGAGTAAAAGTATTTCTTCATTTTTTCCACTGCAAACTGAAATATACTGCTTTGTTTTTATAAATAAAAGCAGTCTTGTTCTAAGTGTGAAGTTACCAGCCGAACAGAGTCAGTGCAGAGTCTGTCAGCTGGTTTATATTAAACTGTCCTCCGCCAGTCTTGAGTCTTCAGTACCTCCGAGCGCAAATTAATAAGTATTAATACTTCTATTATAGTATAGATAATAATAGATATCGATAAATAAAATTGTAGGTAGGATGTCTTGACAACCTAAATCACTGTTTCAGAAAATGCTACCAACATTAAAACAGGTGGGATATTTTGATAGCTTAAATCTCCTTATCAGGGGGTAAGTTAAACAGTAATGCTAAGCTGAATCTGTACTGAATTAACCTTAAAACGTTTGCAGCACCACTGCCCTACCCTATATGCGCATGCGCATAAGGGCCCTTCGATGGGCAGAACACCGGTCCATGTTTCAGATCTAACCCAGCAAAAATGTCTGCGCGGTCAGCTGATTTGTGAACCACCAGCTAGACTGCCTAACTAGTTTGTTCGCTATAAAACACATTTCTTCAATAAAAGAATTAACACTTTGAACACGAAAGCGTTCCGCTCGTTAATCGGCAAGTTAGAAACATCAACACAAACCTCACGTTCAGCCTCACAATAAAAACCTTTTGATGACTTACCACTTTAGGCAGCTGTCGATAGAAGAGGTCAGCTTCTCTGTCCATCCTCGTGACTTATTTTTTTAACAGAAAATGTTTTTTAGATAAAATTTTTTGCTAAACTCAGCTTTGTAAACAGAGGTCTGTTTAGCTACTACGAGGTTCCGACGGTGAAATGATTCCCACTTTCCTTTGACCCTTTGTAGTTAGTTCCTTTTTATTTGCGCTTTCGTATTTCAGCAGTTAGCTTACTAAACTGATATTAAAAAGAACAAAGAAGCATAACAAATAACATAATAAATTATATAAACAATATACATACATAATTCATATACATGTTGTACAAAAAACAGAAGTATAAGGTGGAGCTCCTTTTTAACATCATGTTTGATTTATGTATAGACTGTTGGAGGACAAAAACACAAGTACACATTAAAGAATAGGTTATTACAAGTGCATTAAGGAAGGAAACGTTTATGAAGTCTTTGGGTGGAATATGTGCTTCCTACATACAAAACTTTACTGTCAGATGATGCAACATGAACATTGTTTTACTGAATGTATTTGTGTTTATTTTCTTCCTCTGCAAGCGTGTTTTGAACAGGAGTCATGATCACTAACCCTGAGGCTAAAGGATTTTGCAAGGAATGTGCTGTTTCTGTATCTGTGTTTATGCTTAATTATTATGACCAAGAGAACTATGAGAAAAATCCGATCCTAGATCAGCTCTCTCACCCTGAGGCTTGTGTTTATGGATCTAAATCACATGACTTCACACTTTTCAGCTGACTGTTTGAGGTCTTCGAGGGTGGCCTGTGCTTTGTCCTTCAGCTGGTCCACATCAACATTCTGAATGCTGGCCAGCTGACCCAGGACGGACTGCTTCTGCTCTTCCTCCTGGTTGTCCTCAGCAATCATCTTCGCCAGCTCAGTGGGCAGCTCCACATCCTTATTTGCACCCTGGATCTGCGTTTCATCCAGCTCACTCTAAGGGGAGAAACACAGGCAGGTGGGCGAAGGACGGCAGAGGTATTGATCAAAACTGAATTCTGGCTTGAATCAGGATTTTTGACAATTAGCTTTATCTTGTGATAAAAATTACTGGTTCATATAAACTCTATTTTAAAGGGCTCGTTTCATGGAAAACTGAATTTCCCTTGCTTTTTTTAAACAGAAGTTTGATGTACTTTGTTTAATATAAACTTTCACCTTCGTGTCTATGCAGTCCATGCTGCACAAAAATAAAAGTAAATAAATAAACAGCTCTATTTGAATTCTTTGTTTTGTGAAGTCACAAATACCAACCCATTTTTTTCTGCCCACTCGGCCAACAGCAGTTTAGTCCCGCCCATTTACGTCAAAGTTATGAGGAGTGTTTCAGCCTGGGCCGCTTTTTGAATGAGCTACGGTACACATCAGCCAATCAGAAGACAGACCTTTTACATGTATCAGTCTTAAAGGCACAGTAACAAAAACATCCTGTTTAAGACTAAAGAGAGCTTGGAAAATTATCACATAAAATGAGTTATGACTGTTTTTAAAACATAAAACCACACAGGCTTTATTAGTGAAATTCTGGGAAAAAAGTTGAGTCTGTTTTGAATTTTTGTTTTTGTGACATCACAAAAACCATCACTTTTACTTGAACCAGCACCCTCAGCCTACAACGGTTTAGCCCCGCCCATTCATGGCAAAGTTATAAGGAGTGTTTCAGCCCTGCCTGCATTTTGAACATGGTGCAAGACAGAGCAGCCAATCAGAACATACGTCATTTGCATATATAAGTCTTAAAGGTAAACAAACAAAACCAGCCTTAATTCAAAGGTATAAGGAGAAGTAAAAAAATGGACACATAGAAAGGAATCAGGACTGTTTTTTGTATGTAAACTTTATATGTGGACTTCAGGCTGGAACAAGATATAACAAAAAAGAAGGACATTGGCCTTTTAATGAGAACATAGTGTGAAAACTGCAGTAATAACCACAGTTTGGCTGACGTTTGACAGGACAGCAAACAGAACTCTGAAGCCTGCTTTTCTCAGTTTAACTGTTGTTGAAGTTATTGTTCTTTGCCAGAGATCTGTTGTGGTATGTGATGGGTTCTGTGATGCTACAGACCTTTGGCAGCCTGTACTTCTCTCTGAAGTGGCTCCTGACTGTGGCCCTCTCTGCTTTCTTCTGAGCAAAGCTGGCATCTCGCTCCATCCTGAGTGAACAGCACAAAAATCAGAATGGCACAAATATGCATAGTTATGTTTTGTAGAAGTAACAAGAGTTGAATGTTGTTTGTGTTGAGAAAACCCAAAAAAAGCAAATGGCAAAAAACAAAACAAAACGCTACATCTGCTCTAATTTTTAGCATCTTCAGCCTAACGTATTCTTGCATCCGTCATTTAATATAGAGATCAAGATAGCAGTCTGTGCACAATTTATATCAAAGGCAATACAGAGAAGTGTAATATGATTCCAAACGATGCAGATGAAAGAAAGAAAGGGCTGTTTATGCATTTCTGGGGAGAAGTCACAGACGTAAAGTCTGGGCCAGGCAAACATGGACCTAGAGGGCACTGTGACATACAGTATTGATCGAAGGTACAGCGGACTGTAAATAAAAACCATCGTTCCGGATCTCTCCTCCTATTACACATGAGAAAGGGGTGCTGATGCTATTTTTATATTGCTGGGTAGCAGAAAATAAACACCAGGCTCCAAAACTCTGTGAAGAAGATTTTCACTTTCAGATCCAGCTGTCTGCATCAGTCGTTCTACATTCTGTTCCTTTTAGTATTTTTCCTGCTCTACCACACCTGAACCTACTAATCGGCTAATTAAAGGGGAATTCCATCTATTTTTCAAATATTATTTCTGCATGATTAAATTACTAAGATGTAAACAATGTCATTCACAGCTGTTTGAATGCTCTGTTCTGTGTGTGAGAAACTTTCAGAGTCAGAGTTGTTCACAGCGGTGGTGATAGGAACCAGACGTCTAAAGAGTTTAATGCCTCTAAAAGCTCCCTCACAGAAAGTAAATACATGTAATGGTCACAAATACATTGTCTAAAGCCTGAGATATTGTTTATAACCATATGATCATTCTGAGAACAGGTTTTGACATTAAAATCAAAGAGAGGTAAAGGGTGTTATAAAGAAAAATGTAACACCTAAAACGCTTTTTTGGTTTATATTCACCACTATTTTACCTTATCAACAAATAAAAACTCAGATGATGTGTAGGTTCAATGGTGATTTTGGACAGTAAATTAAATGGCTATATTTGTGTTGTAGATATGGGGAATCTTGGTTCCAGTCAGCGCCTCTGTACGGAAATCTGAGTCTGAGTTTCTCTACAAAAATCCATTTCACATCTAACCATTCTGGATGACTCTGTTTACATCTAAACAGCTAAACTATGCAGAATTTTTATAAATATGGAATTCCCCTTTAACAAGCCCATCCTGAATTGAATTGAGATTGCTTGAGCAGGAAAAATACTGAAAAGTGCAGGACAGGGGTCCTCCAGAATCAGGGCTGGAAACACTGATATAAATGTATATTTATACTAACAGTAGGAGAGACGATCAGCAACCAGAAGGTCATCGGACTGAATGGGTACTCCTGGTTTCCTATGACCAGCCTACTGTTGTATGCAGATGCCTAACCCCTAATCCCTGTGCTGCTCCCAGACTGGGCAATGTTAGGCAGCAAAATGACCAATTTCCATTAAAAGGTGAATCAAAAAAGTATGTCAGAGGTGGGTAGAATAACCTAGACCCATCGACAAGCAGAAGTACTGGTAGTTTGTGGTGTAATAATAACACAAGCAAAAGCACTTTCCAAAAAACAACTTGAGTAGAATTATAAAAGTAGTAAACTCAGTAAAAGTACTGAGTCCCCCTACAGAACCACAGTGGAACTTCTTACAGCATCCAGCATCCATCAGCAGAGGAAGTTTATTAGACTTCTTCTCTTTTTTGGGATTCTTTTGGTCTAAAATAAATATGATAAACCTCAAACGTTCTAAGTGTGACCAATCACAAAGCAGCACAGATGCTGCCACTAAATTAACAAAGAAATCAAATACAAAAAATTGCACAGGAACTAAATGGTCATGAACATGTCCACACTGACAGCCACTGAATTTCAATCGTGGATATTGCTAAATAAATTACATCTTAACATTTTACATCTTTACAAAGATGGAAATCTCTTACCACATGAACCATACATATTTCAATTTACTATAAAACATTAAGAAATATTTAATAATTTTTGGCTTTCCACCCCATCACACCCAACTTCTTTATCATATTAAGAGGCATGAGGGAGAGTCAGTGACATCACTTAAGTCTTCAGATGAGTTCAATTCAAAAGCTAGTAAATTTTGTTTTTATTTAACAATGATCATTTGTTCTTTTATGCATTATGAACAGGGTCTGTTAAGCATGATATGACCACTCCATCAGACAAAATAGACAGAAAAAAAATGATTTTTTTAAGTTTAGCAATATGCACAGAAGACCCAGGTCATTTACTGTAAAAACTGACCATACAAGGTCTAACCTTGATAACAGGGAGCTCTATTCCACTCTCACAAGCTCAGTGTGATGGGATTAGACTTTCCAGTGTTATTTGACCAAAAAAAATACAAGATGTGGGAAGATCTGCTTTGTGGTAAAATCAATATTTCACTGAAACTATGGGGAACATATGGAAAATGTATTTTGCTACATTTGAAAGTTAGAGCTGATGGGTGCCTGGGCTCTTCAGTCAGAGACCTGGAGTAACAGGAGTTACACTTACTTCTCCTCCGCCAGCTGCTGTTGGTACTGCTCAAACTCCTCCTGTGTCATCCCCTTTGCTGCGGCCTCAGACTTCTCACCTTCAGCCTTTTCCTCCCCAAGACCCCCGGTGAGATCCTTCAGCTGCCCCCCTAGCATGTGCTTCACCATGAACGCCATATTCTTCTTTTTCTTCTGCAAGACAGAGCACTTTACACTTCAGACTTTACTTTACAACCAGCAACACTTCAGTGTAACCAAAGTGTAAAGTTTAGGTCCACACTGTGTAGTTAGTCGACTAACTGAAGAAATAAAGGCTCATCATTCCCTTTTCTCAGTCTGTCAGCTGTGGCTCTGGGGATATGAACACTCGATGTTTGTATCTCTCTCTTTATATGAAGCTGCGTCCCGTACGTGATTTTTTTTTCTCGCCCGTATTAAGACAAGCCCCGCCTCCGCACTGGGATTGGCTAGTAGTTTACAAATACAATCAGAAGGCGGAGCTTGTCGGAAAACGGGTGGGTGTAGCTCGCTGTGCTGTTCATTTCGCACTTGGTATTCACTCTCTGACTTTGCAGACACGGTGTTGAGAATGTGCAGCTCACTGGGTCATTTTATTCAGAATACAGCTCTCTAGCTGGTATTACTGAGCGAGTGCTTTTCTTAAAGCATATATGCTGAGTGAACTGAACTCAAAGGGGATGATATCATGTTTTTCAAAATTTTTTGGATAATTACCTTATTTAGTGCGTTTATATACCTTAATAATCCGATAACTGCAGAAAATCAGATTTTGTCAGTAATCCAGTCAATGCGTTTACATGCACTTGAGTAATCAGATACTGGGGAAACTACGTGAGTCAGACAGTAATCAGATTTCTGCTTTGCAACCGGCCAGTAAACCCACAGAAGAAGACGTGCCGTAAACCTAATGTAAATCTCGAACTTCACGCCGCGGTATTTTTTAAAACACCCATCCACTTCACCTGAAAATATGAACATACATCATCTAAAAGACGAAGAATATTTAAATTATTTATTTCGTTAAGCTTGTAGTTGGTTTTAACGTCGCTAGAGCCGGTTTATGAGCCTGGCCTCCTCCTATTTCCCTCGTTATATCAAAAACATGACAGCAAAACGCCAGAGGGCGCTCGCGAGCGAGTCCCCATTGAATAGGTTTGAATGGAGTTAAACGGAAAAACGAAAAGTTAAATAGTTTCTAATCACTCGCCCAGAACTTTCCTTTCATTTTAGAAAGTAGAAGGATATATTTCACTAAAAAAGCAAAGAATACTTACATGTATGTTTCCTATACAGTAAACGGGTTTTGGGCAGCAGAAGGCGAGCATTACTACTACTGAGTGCTGATTAAATGGCTGTTTGCGCTCACAGACGTCATGAACATACATGACATATAACAGTGGTGTTAAAATGTTTATGCTGTTCTGTGTTCAGGAAATGAATGTATTATTTTACATTAAAAATGTTTAAGCATTTATTAGTTATGATTTTGTTGAAATGCTCCATCTTAACCCAATCAGTTTGGACTGGCCTGGGAGCGACCTCTAGTTTTTGAGAAACCCAGAAGACATTACAGAGTGGTAATGCTCCTCTCTACTAGTTCTCTGGTGTCGCTCCACCAGAGAACTAGTAGAGAGGAGCATTTTTTGTTTTGTGTTTTGCTGCCATCTCACGGCAATGCTGCTTGCTTATTTCTGGTACCGCCATCTGTGTTCGCACATGCGCAGACTGAGAAATCTGAAAGAACTCAGAGTAGGAGTTTACATGCACTGAGAAATCTGCTTACTACGACGACGTTTTAGGGCCACTGTTAATGAAAATAAAAATAATAGACTTTGAGAATAAAGGCGTAATATTTCAAGAAAAAAGTCATAGTATTCTAAAGTATTATTCTTGAAATATTGCAACTTTATTCTTGACATATTACAACTTTATTCTCAAAATATTACGACTTTATTCTCGAAGTCTACTGTTTTTATTTTTATTAACAGTGGCCCTAAAACGCCATTGTAGATTAGCTAAAATCCAGCTCTCTTTATCGGATTTCTTAACTGGATTTCTAGACCTTATTCCAATCTAAGAAATCGGAGTATTCTGTTCACATGACCATTTGAATAATCAGATCACTGCAGAAATCCAATTATGATCGGATTATTAAGTGCATGTAAACATGCTAACTGAGATGTAAACAAAGACATTCAGAGAGGTCTGATGTAAAATGGTGCACTGTAGTGAAACCTACTGATTCAGATATCTTTACAGTTTTCACCACAGTACTAAATTTTCTCAAAGGTTTATGCTTATAGTTTCTGTTGTAGAAAAAATCTGCATTTTAATATATATTGAAGGGCCCATATCATGGAAAACCAAATTTTTAAGTAACGGAGTTTGATACTGTATGTAAACACTGTTGAAGTTAAAAACGTACCATTCACTCCTCAGTCCATACCGTCCATTTATGGAAACTAAGCTGTAAAAACAGCCTGTTTTGGATTTACTGTTTTTGTGATGTCATGAAAAACAATAGATTTACATATATCCACCTGTTCAGTTTATAGTTTAGTCACATCCACTGACACTAAAGTTATAAGGAGTGTTTTAGCCCAGACTGCTTTTAAATGGGGCACAATACAGGGCACCCAAAAGGGTAATATAAAACATGCAAAAATTTATCATGACTGTTTTTGGTACATAAAACCATATCAACTTCATAAGAGAACCTCATAAGAGGGCAAACAAATAAAATGCAAGCAAAATGTACAATATGGGCCCGTTAATGTAACAAGATTTAAATTCAAATATGCATAATTTTATAATAGTTCATTGTAGAGAAACTTATTCAGACTTAAAAAAAATTGAGACTCAGATTTCTTTACAGTGGGGGTGGTAGGAACCAGGGGTCACAATTTCTACAACACAAACAAAGCCATTTTATTTTCCATCCAAACCACCAGTGAAGTTACACATCTCCTGAGAATTTATATATAATGTTGATTTTAATGGTAGAGTTTAAAAGATATAATTTCTTTGGACATTATTTGGTTTTACAATATCCTGCAATGACCCCTCCATTAATATTTTTTAAACATCAGGCAAAAAAAAAAAACTTTCTCAAAACTGTAGTAAAACAATGTCTCAGGCATCGGGCAACATATTTATAACCATTTTCAGTAATTGCTTAGTGTGATCTAAATGCTTCAGATGTCTGGTTCCTATCACCACCACTGACTCTAGAACAGAGAAATTTGCATTAATCCACTCTGAATGATTTTGTTTACATCCTAATGGCTTAATTATACAGAAACTTTGACAAATATGTGCAATTCCCCTTTACTTCTGTAAACATTAATTTCCTAATGTAGCAGTGGCTTTTACAGTGGTTATTTTAAATTTCTGAAAAAAACAAATAATGTTTAAATAATGTTTTTTCTTTTTTTTAAATGAAGTGGGAGCTTCTAAACTAAGATAATGCACAAGTGTCATGGCCTCTTCAGGGCATAGAACTGCATGAAGACAATGACATCAATTAGTTATAGTGGGAAATTATAACATTAGTATATTAGTGCTTTGAGTATTTTGAGTATTTTGATGCATTCACCAAACACTAGTAGTATAAAAACTTTACCTCCCTGATAGCTAGTATTCTGGCCCTACTAGCCGCAGTTACACACTCCTCAGAAAGCCGGCTCTGTCTACCTAAAAAGAGTCAAAGGCAGCTGCTTAGGGCCCTGTGGCCACCAGGGGGCCCCCTTGAAAACTTCTGGGTTATTACTGTACTGTTATGCTGTCTAAGATGCTCGAGTGAGGTAGAACAGCAACTGATTAATCATGCCTCAAATGCATCTACATCAAAAATTGCAAAAGAAAAAAATGAAAAAGCTTACAAAAGTATGTTTTGTTTTTCTTGTGGTGTTAGCGTTATGCCATTTGTTTTGGCTTGTAGTTGGACTACAAGAAGTAGTGGATCTAGGGTCCATGTAATACAGCACGTTCAACTGAGAAAGACTTTCAGAGTAAGTTTCAGCTTCACAAAACCGAACAAACATGCCTGTGGTTAACTCGTTTTACGACTGTGATTAACGACTTTCTCTGTAAATCTAGGTTTCGATTATCAGGCTTAGATAGTCAGGCTTTGTTTATTTACAGCCAATCGCGTAAAACATGAGGAGGAGTCACGAAAGAAGGAAAAAGAAATCAGAGTACCTAAATATGTCAAAATTAAAGCATTAATAACGGTAAAAAAAAAACACCAGTGCCACCAGGGTTCAGCCAAACTACGTTTAAAATCAGCTGGTAAGCAAGAAATACTGCATGGTGAGACAGACCCCTGGATCCAGAACGCTGAGAAGGTTATGATGGATATTTTGAATAAATATTGAATAGATACCCTCTTATTCTGGCTACATCAAACAGGTAGAGTTAGGATAGGCCTTAGTTTGTCTGCATAAGGGATTTTTGACACTGAAGAGTCCCTGAAGCTACAGAAGCTTCTAGAAGCCTGTAAGCATTTGCTGACACAGTAAAAGAAGAGGGCAAGCTGACCCTCAAAGAGCAGAGTAAGCTGATAAGAACCTGTTGAAACCAGTTTTTGGAGTCAGTTCAATAATGCAATAGTTAAATTAATAGCCCTGAGAGGATGGAACGGCTTGGTACAACCAAGCTAAGATGATTTTAAAAAAAACTATGTATGTTTGGAAATAAGGGTTTCCAAGAAAAGTGCAGAGTTTGGATATAATGGGGACTAAGATGATATGGAACTGTGTAAAAGGGAGGAACAGGATATAAAAAAGGATGTTTCGTGATGTTCTTTGCATTGTGGTTGTCCGGGGACCATCTTGCCACTCAAGCTCAATAAAGAAAAAAGCCTTTTCCTTCCTTCCTCAAGAACTCAGCCACTGAAGTCTTTTATTTCCTTTTGCTCTTTTTACTTTTTACTGATTTACTCTCTTTTTCTTTTGATTTCTTTTGAAGAAGTTAGACTACAGTTAAGAAAACAGGGCTATAGTACAGAGCGCGTTAGAGATACCCTTTATATATTTGGACCTTGGGCAAGGAGAAGTAGCTCCTGTTCCCGACAGTTATCATTTAAACTGTAACTGTAAAATGTAAATTTCAAACATGTACATATTTAGGCCCCCCAAAAAAATCCTGCCTAGGGCCCCCAGATGGTTAGAGTCAGCCCAGGCCATTACTATGTGTTCACACAAGCACAGAACAGTAAAATGATCCTTAGCAAGTTGTACAGTTCTATAATAGATTGTACCGTAAGATGTGCAACTGAAGGAAATTATTGCCTGTATTAGAGTTTGCTGATTTGCTGTACTCCCCATGGAAATTTATTACACTGTATCTG